AAGACTTGTTGCTAAGGGCTACACTTAAACATATGGTAAAGACTACAAAGAAATGTTTGCTCCTGTAGAAAAATGAACACGGTAAGAGTATTGATGTCTAGAGCAGTAACTTATGATTGACCACTCTTTCAAATGGACGTTAAAAATGCATTTTTACAAGGTGAATTGGAAGAAGAAGTTTATATGAACATTCCTCCTGGACATCCTTCAAAAAATCAACTAATAAAACCATCTACGGCCTCAAACAGTAGCTACATGCTTGGTATGGAAAATTAAGTTCCGCTCTTGAAAGTTTGGGTTTCAAAAAGTGTGATTCGGATTCCTCCTTGTTTGTGAAGCGAAGTGCCAAAGGAACGGTGGCTATCCATGTCTACGAGGATGATATAGTTATTACTGGTGATAATCTTCATGAAATCGAGGCTCTCAAGCGGCACTTGAATGTGAAGTTTGACGTCAAGGATTTGGGACACCTGTGCTATTTTCTTGGTATAGAGGTGGCTTACTCTAGTAAAGGAATATTCATCTTTCAAAGAAAATATACTCTTGACTTGTTAAAAGAGACTGGAAAACTTGGAGCTGCTCCTATAGAGTCTCCCATGGAGTAAAATAGTAAGTTTGTGGACAATGTCAACTCATTACCTAATAGTGGTCAGTTTCAAAGGTTGGTTGGACGGCTAATTTACTTAACCATTACCCGTCCAGATATTGCTTATGCTGTCAGTTATGTAAGCCAATTTATGCATGCTCCTACTAAAGAACATATGGCGCTTGTGGATCGCATACTTCGGTACCTAAAGTCTAGTCCAGGTCGGGGTATTTTGATGAAGAAACATGGTCATACTGGTATTGTAGGGTACACTGATGCTGATTGGGCTGGGAGTCCTATGAACAGAAAATCAACTACAAGCTTTTGCACCTTTGTAGGCGGCAACTTAGTGACTTGGAAAAGTTAAACATAGACTATTATGACAAGATCCAATATGAAGGCCGAAGATAAAGCCATGGCCTCAACTACAAGTGAAATGGTTTGGCTTTGATTGCTTGTGCAAGAATTGGGGTTTGGAACCCATATGTCTACTATGAAGTTATTTTGTGATAATCAAGCCGCAATCCATATTACTTCAAATCCAGTTTCCCACGAACGGACGAAACATATTGAAGTCGATTGTTATTTTGTTCGTGAGAAGATTCAAGACAAAACAATTGAAACTCCCTATGTTCGTAGTGATGAACGACTTGCAGATGAATTCACCAAGGCTCTCTCTAAAGGTGTTTTCCAAAATATGATATCCAAGCTGACCTCTGAGGATGTCTTTGCTCCAGCTTGGAGGGAGAGTGTTTGAACGATAAGGATGCCAGATCATCCTAATCCCAATATAGTAGAAGATCACACTGGGTTGTGCGATAATTATAGTTACCAAATTACTGACTATAACCCATTGTATTGCTCTCTATTAAAGGATTATGAATCCTCCCCAAAGAAGATAAGATGAATTGGGATTTATCATCGTGGATGTAAGCTTCCAAGGGATTATGCCCTTGGTCGTTTGAACCATGTTAACGATCGAGTGTCCATTTTCTCTTCTTTTATCTCTCTTCTATACATGATTATCATTAAAACATAGACAAATAGAACATCTGGCATCTTGCAACTAAGTATCGAATGAGTCTTTCAACCACCGTATTTATATAAATTTCTAATTCTTGATTTTGCGCACCAATTAAGCCTCGAAACGAGTTGCCATATTGCCTGGCTTCAGCCGTGGTCTCTTCTTCCAAACTAAACTGTGGTAACGGTTTCTTACTCAAGCAATCACGATGATTCAAGAAACTTCAGTAAGGGATTGTCACCACACCAGAACATCTTTCGCCACACTTACAAAGTGATTGGCTAACAAAAGGGAGTAACAGTTGCAAATGCCGCGATATGTTTTACTTATAGCAAGAATGGCAAGTGCCGGCAAAGGTCATTACAAATGTCGCCGAAGGACATACAATTTCCTAGTTATGGTGGCATTTACAAATGACAAAAGTAATGGTGATAATGCCACGAAAGATATGCCTGATAAATCTATATTCCTCTAGTCCAAATTAAAATTACAGAGAGTTGCCTCTAATAGTTGACGACATTGATGAAATGTAATTCCCATAAAAGCTTATTGATATTGCATTCATATTTTTCTCTAGTGTCAAAGTATACATGGTATGATCAAAATGTACAGTACAATGACATCAGCTATAGTCACAAATCAAAGTATATCATTCTCAATGTATTCATGGTGTAATGATAAGCCAAGATACTAAGCCCATGAATAGATAAAGTCAGATAGTTAAACCATTTACTCCATTTTGCTTCCGAATAATGCATTATCTGCAGGAAAAGAAAAAGGGAAAAAAAAAACCATTGAATCTTTCCATGAATGCTTTGCAAGTCTAATTCGATTTCCAACTTGATCTGTCGGTATAGGATTTATTTCCAACCATTCAATCTTTCCGCTTTACTGCGGACGCACTTTGACTTTTTCTTGATCCGAAACACGACAAAATTTGACGCGTACAGTCCGATATTCTTTCATAATGTTCTTGAAATCTAATTGATATTTCATACATTGACGGGAAAGCAAAAATGTTATTTTATATTTTGGAAAACGCAAACAACCAGGCCCAAAGGGAACTTTACAGACGACAAACCATTTACTAAATTTGGTGCAAGTAAAGCAATCTCTAAGAAAGGTCCAAACTTTCGTATGAAGGCATATTTGTTTATTGTTCCAATACCAGCTCCTCCCTTCTTTAGACCTAGGAGTTTCTATTATGTTTTTAATTTAGGCTTTACATTTGAAGCTACAATTATTCTTTTTTTTTCCTTCTTCTTTTGTGTTGGTTCTATTAGGATGGTACAATATGAAAATGATGGAATGAAATAGCCTTTAGATATAGTGAGAATAGGATATGCGTGTGTGTGCCGGGAGGAACATCAGATCGTACAATGTACCGAAAAGGTGACCGAGGTGATCCATGTATGTCTAGATCCTCCTTGTATCTAAGGTTATATCGAGAACTCTAAAATATTTCAAAGGTAATTTGGGAAATGTACTTATTGTCTTATAGGGTGTAATAAATTATAATGAGTTATATGTTATATGTTATAAATTATGCTATGACACCAGGCGTGGTGAGGCTTGAATTTGCAAGCGAGGTTAAGTGCCAAGGCTCGCCCCGGCGAGAAATGACGAGCGGGCCAAGCAAAATAAAACAGAATAAAGTAGCATTCGATAGGATTTCTACCTTGAGATTGAAGAACTAGAATAAAAAATAACATAAATAATTTACAAGATTTTACACTTTAAGGATTATATATATATATTTTTTAAAAAGTAGAATTATTTCTGTCATGAATAAGGTGGTAGGGCTTCAGGAAACGTCCAGGCTTTGGGCTCGGGCCGAATGAAATGACCGTCTTGCCCACGCCCACCCATTTGTGGATATTTTCGTGGTCATTGTAGCCATCAACTCCCTGCTTCTATTCTCACCTTTGCCATTCTTGTTCTAGAGAGCTTTGTCTCCTGATCAATGTAAACAACGGCCTAATACCTAAAAACCTCGAACTTTAGCTCTGGACCCAATTCTACTTTTTATCTCATAAAAAACCTCCAACTTTAGTCATGTCCCAATTTTACCCTAAACTTTTTTTGTCCCGTAAAAAACCCCTAACTTTAGGTCCAGTATCAATTCTACCATAAATTTTTTTTTGTCTCATAAAAAAAAATCACAGCTTTTGGTCTAGTTTCAATTTCACTTTATTTTTTTTGTCTTATAAAAGATTATTAACTTTTACTTGAGTCCCAAATCTGCTCTCCATTAGCCTTCCGTCAAAATCACCCTTGGGGATTTTGTGCTCGTCGATCTCTTGTGCTTGAGAATGCTCCATCTCTCGCGGTTGGAAAGCTCACGTTCGATACATTCAAACAGCTCGTACTCAGGACCCTTGAATAGATCGTGCTCGGGAGTTTTCCATCTCTTAGTTGTCAACGAGAAAATTTTAGACGGAGGGTTAATGGGATCAGATTTATGACTCAAGTAAAGTTTTGTGGTTTTTTATGAGACTGTAAAAATTTCAGTGTAAAATTGGGACCAGACGGTAAAATTGGGACAATATCTAAAGTTGGAGAGTTTTTCATAGGACAAAAAAAGTTTAGGGTAAAATGGGTCATGACCTAAAGTTGAGGGTTTTTTATGGGACAAAAAAAGTTTATGGTATAATTGAAACTAGACTTAAACTTAGAGGTTTTTTATGAGACAAAATGTAAAATTGGGATAAAAGTTAAAGTTGAAGGTTTTTTAGAGTATGGATAAGTGCACTAGAAGTTCTAAAACTTGTCAGAAAAGTGCAATTGAGTCCTAAAACTTTCAAAAAATGCAATCAAGTCCTAAAACTTATCACGAAAGTGCAATCAAGTCCCAAAACTTTCAAAAAGTTCAATCAAGTCCTCAAATTTATCACGAAGATGCAATCAAGTCCTAAAACTTATCACAAAGATGCGATCAAGTCCAAAAACTTTCAAAAAGTGCAATTAATGGAAGGACTTGATTGAATCAATTTAACAAGTTTTAGGACTTGTTTGCACTTTTTGAAAGTTTTAGGACTCAATTGCACTTTTCTAATAAGTTTTAGAACTTAATTGCACATTATGAAAGTTTTAGGACTCAATTGTACTTTTGTGACAAGTTTTAGGACTTTGAATGTACTTATCCCTTTAGAGTATTAGGCTTGCAAACAACACCCTACCCAGGTCAAATCACAAGATATCACAAAATCTCAGTCGAAGTCCATGAAAAGAACTTGAAACATGGAGTCCTCTCCCCTATCCCAAACTTGTCTTAGGTACACGTACAGCTAACTCAAGTACCAAGATAAAGATATTTGCCAATTCAAGTATTGTACCATGAATCTAAATTATTATCACCATTCTACTAATGCCAAGCGTATATGCAACCACTTAACGAGCCTTCTTAATAATGCAGATCTTCATTTTGCATAGAGACTCATATGAACTACCACCTTTCGCCTCGGCCTTTTGTGCATTACTCTTGAGTTCTCTAACTCTAGCTCTTAATGTGCGCCCTTCTTTCTCCACCATTACCGACCTCACCAACTTCTCTATCTCCTCCCTCCCCACAATCTTCTTTGATGGCAGCACCTTTGGCCGGACCGCCACCCCTATCTCCTCAGTGAGGAGCATCGCATTTAGCCTTTGCTCGGCGTACAGTGGCCAAGCAATCATGGGCACTCCATTCGCTATGCTCTCTAGGGTCGAGTTCCATCCGCAGTGAGATAGGAAGCCACCCACGGATGGATGGCTCAAGATTTCCACCTGTGGGGCCCATGATGGGAGTATGAATTCGATGTTGCGAGTACGTGCCATGAATCCACCTGGCAAAAATCTCAAAACCTCATCGCGAGCACCACTCTTTCCCGCATTAAAATAGGATCCATCAAGAGATTTGATAGTTGGTGGCCAGAGTACCCATATGAACCTATTGAAATTATACATTTGTAAGAGGAAGGAATTTATTGAGTATATAACAAAATAACACTAATACAAAGCTTAATCTATAATTGCAAATTTGTCCTACTTGAATTATTATAGGTCTTTCGCAAACAAATCACACAGTTCAACGTTGGATTGAATGACGTGTGCAATGAGTTAGTTCTGTACGCGTAATCTTCCATATGTCAATCCATAGTAAACGAAGTTAATGATCCTTATAAAAATATTCTTATTATAACGTGTAGCATTTATTTGGCTACTGATTTTTACAGATGCATGCGAACTATCTCAACATTTTAAGCTAATGTTGGCTAACGGAATTTGTTTTCATTCAGAAAAAGACTATTCATCCTTAATAAGAGATTGGTTAAAGGAAAGAGATATTTCCTACACTACAACCGGGCCTTCTCCAAACCGTACCTTTGTTGGCTCAGCTCCAATCCCCATGCCAGCTCGACCAGCTGTTCAGCCGACAAAGTCCCTCCACTTCCAAACAAGACGAACAACACCGACTCGCTCGGCTGCTTATCCAGCCATTCCACCAGCTCCTTTCCTAAACCAGCCGGTCTGACTGGTCTAATGAGCGGCCCAACCGTATCCACCGGACCGTTTGCAACCCGGCCCAAGAACTCCTTGTTCCTCAGTGCGGCGAGGGTCTCGGCCTGCAAATCCTCCCACACATTCAACAAGATTCCATCTCCCATCGGGATCTCGCCAGCCCGCAGCACGTACTCACGGTACTGGTGGTCCAACCAGTCCAGTATCGGGTCCACCACGTCCTCTGGTCGGACAGGCTTGCAACCCGGGATCTCTAGCGGTTCGGTACGCTCCACGTACTCTCCCTTCACTTCCTTGTCCAGCGTCGGCGAGTGTAGTAACAACGCAAGAAACCATGCATTGGAAAGGACGTAGACGTACTTGGGGATCCCTAACTCGTCGCCAATGCACAGATGCTCCGTCCCGAACAAGTCCACGATGAGGACATCGGGCCGGGCCTCCATCGCCATGAGCGCGGACCTGAATGCTGGCCGGGCCTGGCGCATCATGAATACCAGCCTTGTGACCACGGCGGCATCCGGGCTGAGGCCTGCAGCCAAGAGGTCGGGGGGTGGGAGCTCCACGACATCGAGGAGCTTGGGGGTCATGGTGGACTCGATGATCTCGGCCTCGGTGTGGGAGGCCTGCGAGGGGAGGACAAAGACGGTAGCCTCAAAGCCATGGTCAGCAACGAGGCGCTTGCCAAGCTCGATGACGGGGATGAGGTGGCCCATTCCAGGGCTCGAGAGGAGCGCTGCATGGAGCTGTTTCGGCTTCTCCATCGATGGATTGGAGGAAAAGAGGTCGAAATTTAGGGCATGGAAAGAAGTGAAGCTGAGAGTGTGTACGAAGAAGACATGCTTAGCTACGAAGCAGGTTCGGTGGAAGGAATTTTAAGTAGTGGAGTATCCAACTTCGTGTGGTTGAAATCAAGCCATTCCATTGTGAGTAATTTGGGCCCGCTCAATAATTATTCGAGATCGATGTACGTGATTTACGGTCAAGCTCTGACTTGTCATACTCAGCTCATGAGCTTAATTGAGCTTCTATGATTATTTTAAAGCATATAATATGACAAGAGTAAACAAAGAACTCATAAGATTTAAACATATAATGTAAGGAAAAGTATTCAAGCTTGTTAAGATCGAGTCCAAGCTTGAATTCGAGTATGATCGGAATCGAATTGGGCTTTGAGCCCTTAAAGGTACGAGCCTAGTCGAGCTAAAACGACTCGTGTGCGTGGATTCCACTAAACGCGGGAATATTCACTTCAAGTTGAGTTCACTCCCCATGTTATTCATTCGTAAATCCCAAAAATTCCGGCAAGAAAAGCTACAGAAGAGGGAATAAAACAAGCATTAGGTGTGGAAAGGGGTTGGAAAAATATTAGATAATATGAAAAATAAGAAATTGATGTAAATTTTGTTAAAGATGAAAAAATAAGATAAAAAATATCTGAGGCGTACAAGCACCGTCATTAAGGACAATTTCGCTCTTCGGAGTACGAAACTCGGTGGGATAAGCTCTAGCAGCTATCCTCCTAAGATACAAAATACCTTTTTTCTTTATTCTACACAGAATAATAAAAGGAACAGGACAACATTATGCATATAACCCAGCAAAGAAATGAAAGATATAAGAATGAAAGGAAAATTCTATTTTAATTCGGTGCATCTTAAAGGATAATGATTTGAAGTTCAATTTTATATTCAAACGAAGTAGAGAACCTTTAAAAAACTGTTATAAATCAATTGATAATTGTTCGCTCGCTTTACAACGAGGAATATCCTTGCAGATGACTGAGCTCCATTGTCCGTCGGATTTTGACATTAAACCGACTTGATATCCATGCCGATTTTGGTGTAAACAATAATTATTAAATGATGACTGCCATTCCGATTACATAGGACAGTGTCTCCAATGTGTATAGGACAGTATCAGTTAGAACTATTGTCTGCGAATAGAAGACATCATTCAGATTCCATGAACACTAATTGAGCCACAGAATGAGTTGCTATATCACCCACCTTCACCGACGGTCTCTTCCTCTAAACTAAACCGTGATAACAATTCTCGCTCATGCAATCGCGATAATCCAAGAAACATCGGTACGGAATTGTAGCTATAGTAGGAACAACTTTTGCCAGCACTTATCTACGTGATTTGCCAGCATCTGTAAATGCCAGTGCAATTCCTACCAGCCAAAGGGAAAAAACGACGATGAAAGCCATGTTGGGAAAAGTCTCACCGGCAATTGTCGCGAATGCCGGCAAAGACATCTGAAAATTGCCAGCAAGAGTTCTCTCTTTAGCGGCCTTTGTGAGTGACATTTGCAAATGCGGCGATCTGTTTTACTTACAGCAACAGTCGTAAGCGTCAGCAAAGGTCATTGCTGCCGAGGGACGAACAATTTCCTATTTATAACAATCTGATCTTGCTAGGGAACCATAAGAACATAATGGTTCATGAGAAATATGCTAACCAAGTCAGGAGATATGGCACGAGCTACAACCGCGGCACCGTTCGTGTTCCAGTATCAGAGAGCCCAACCTTCAAACAAGCTACGCTATCGGGCGAAAAGCCACGTTGCGATGATGAACTAAAGGCATTGAGCATGATAGATTCCTCAGGAAAGATGTCAACTCCTATACATGCATGGCCTCTACACCGAAAAGACAAGTGGGGTGTGTGATTTGGGGCGTGTGATTTGAGTTTCGTTAAAGGTTTTCAAAGTGAATCTATTGCTGGAATTAATCGGTCACATGATGAACTGACATGAGTCAAGGACATGAGTCACATGATGAACCGACATGAATCAAGGACATGAGTCACGTGTTGAACTGGCATGAGTCAGGGACAGTAGAAACATTCACCAGAAGCTGTCTTAGTCTCAGATAACCTGCACGAGATAACTCGAGATTTAACAATTATTAAGCTGAAACTCTTAAGCTAGTCAAAAGAAGGAAAATGCTCATTGAAACCAAACCAGATTTTCTATTGCTTACAAAAGGAAAAATAACACAAACAATCCTTAAATTTTAGCCTAATATGCAATATGGTCATTGAATTTTTAATTTGTTCAATATGATCCATGAACTTTAACCCAATGGACAATGTGGTTCCTGAACTTTTAATTGAACATTATCATATAGTTCATGGACTACGTGGAATATGTACCAAAAGTCTAGGGACCACATTGAACGTTAAACTAAGTTCAGGGACGACATTGCACATTGGGCCAAAGTTCAGGAATTGTTTGTGTCATCATCCCTTTACAATATAAGTAACGAAATTCTCAGTAATGCTTTCGCAAGGGATTTGCGAGTTATTTGGGGCTACGAAACACCGAAAGTATTCGAATAACTTGAGCATAATTATAACCTCCGTTATATCACTTTATCCATAATGAAACCTTGTGCTGCTCTCTCCATGAAGTAGGTCACATCGAATAAATTACGTAATACGGTGTCCGATTTACTTTACAAGTATTCTGATTTATTATTGTTCGATTACTTGTTTTTTTTATGCAATTGTAATCAAGATAAATGTAATGCCATGTAGATTTTTTTCTCACAAGTTTGACTTTTATGCATTTTCTTGTATCGGCCGATTTTTTTGTCTATCTACTATTAACTAAGTCTCACTGAAATTTGTAACGTATTTAAATATTTTGCAAATTATCTTTTCAACAATAATGAAACAAATTCTAAAAAACAAAATGTAGATTTCAATCGATCTTGCGCATCCGCACGGGTCAAATTCTAGTTGTTTTGAAAGCGAGAGCAATTATTAGGTCCACGTGTTTGTTCACTTCGCTTAATAACAAAATATCCTATTTTCAAAAAATTGGCCATACATGTTATGGGGAAAAATCAGTACAGTAAAACTCTAATTAATTGATTAATAAGCACCCTGAAGGCAATTCCTTTAAAACTTTTATGAATCGATTAGTGACATTAGGGTTTGGAAAAACAGTAAGAAGAAAGAGGAGACATTATTGTCCTCAAAGGACTTGTAGTGGACTTGTAGTGGATGGCAACTTTGTTTGAAGTCGTTGATACTTCGTGTCCTGATAAATCGACGCATGGACATGTGACTCGTGAAAAAGACCCAAGATGCTCCTAAGTTTGACAAAAGTTCATCCAATCAAATGTCACACATGGAAAACTCTCTCATACATGGAGAGCTCCTCTCTACCTCTTTTGGTAGTTTACCCCCAAAAACCCAAAATCCTAAGTCGCTGATCCTTTCCCCACGCCCTGTCCTCAACCTTATCCTCTTCTCAATCTTCCATCCATAGATCTCTTGGTTCACCTGGTATTTTCCGAATTCTTTCTCTCCATTACTCATCTGCCCATGGTTTCCTCGGCTCATCTGGGCTCCTCATGAATACCCTTATGATTGGAGGTATCTCGCTACTCTCCCTTGAACGATTGTTTCTAACAATACCTGAGATTCTGCCTCTGTGAATCGTTGATTTCTGCTTCGCCGGAATGGGGGGAAACAACATTTCGGATGGGCGTCTTGCCCTTTTATGTAGCAGATTGGGGGATCTTTGGTCAGAAATTAAAGATTCTGAACTGGAAGGCTCCATTTATCCTGAACATTATGAGGAAGGTCGCATTACTGCACTTGGAAAACTGGTTTCAAACCCTACTGTTAATATTCAGGCATTAATCAGCACTATGCAAAAAGCCTGGAGAGTCCAGCATCTTGATGTCTCTCCTATTGGTCTTAACACGGGTCTGCTAGCCTTTACGTTCAATACTAAAGAAGAAAGAAACAGAGTCATTCAGACTGGCCCCTGGTCTTTTTCCAGCAACCTTATAGTCCTTAAACCCTGGACCCTAAACACCCCCCTCAATGCTGTAAGTTTACTTCCTGTGCTTTTTGGGTCTAGGTTCATGGACTCCCTTATGAATGGTACTCTGAGGAACTAGTTTCTCGTGTGGTTCAGTTTATGGGGAAAGTTATAGAAGTTAAGGTGGAGAAGAAGGGTTTTGCCTCTCCCAAAATTGGTAAGGTTAAGGTAGAGCTGCATTTGAGTAGTCCTTTACGCCCTGGTACACTTACTAACCTGGGGGGGAAAAGATTTGGCTTGACTTTAAATACGAGAGGCTGCCTCACTTTTGTTATTCATGTGGCAAACTTGGGCATTATGCTAAAAGCTGTACTGAGGTACCTTTCGATGATGAAAAGTTTGAAGAAGGGGATTATAATTGTTTCGGGCATTGGCTTAAGGCGGAAGCACGTGAACCAAACCCGTTCTGGAAGCTTTGCTATGCTGAACATTTCCCCGCTGATAGAGAAGAAGTGATCCCAGAGACCCCGGCCCAAAATACTAATTCCATGAATGTTGAAGAAGACAGACAGCTACTTCTCCTTGGTTCTACTACTGTAATGGATCAGGGGGACTACATTATCATGGAGGGAGCTGAGAAATCTCCAGTGCAGATTGGAGATCGTATGGCTAAAGGAAAGGGTATTATGGGTTCTCCAAGTGTTTCGCAAGCTAGCTAGGACTTGAATGTAGTTAAAAGTGTGGATATGAAGAAACAGAACAGAACCTCTAAGTCCCCTGCTGCAAAGAAACTCAAAAGGTTCAGCCCCAAGAATCCTCACATGAATGATATTATGTCGTATGATGAGCCTCTTTTGCATGAAACTCCTATAAGGGCTGCGATGGTCAATGCTGAATGGGCTTTGGTGGCTAGCCCTAATAAGCCACCGGGTTACAAATGAGAGTACTATGCTGGAACAATCAAGGGCTGGGCACTCCCTTGACAGTCCAGGCACTGAGGGCAATTATTGCCCAAGATAGGCCCAATGTGGTATTT